AGGAGCCAGGCCGCGGGGCGGAACGGGGCTCCGGAGGGAACCAGGCCGCCGGGCAGGAACAGGGCTCCGGGGGAGGAATCGGACCCCGGAGGAGTCCGCACAGGCTCTACCGAGCCTCCGTTGCGGGCCATTCGGTGTCTCCGAGGCAAAGCCTCGTCCGGCGGCTCCACGGGCGGGCCAGAGCGCTGTGAAGTTCCGCGCCTCCATGCCTGAGCACGGTTGTTTCTTCCCCTCAGGGTGGCGAATTCCATTCGGAGAGTGTTCATCGCGGAAGTGCCCATCATAGGTACCGCGTACTGCAGTCAGGCCCGTGGGCTGCTGACTCGTCACTCTTACCGCTTCCCCTCCCGTTTCTGTTTCCTCCTGCACCTCCAAGCTGCTTCTAGCCCACCTCACCCTTGTATAGCCAGTTCTGTGTGTTACCAGAGGCTGCCTCAGTTTCACTGCAGTCTCTAAAATATTTCTGTGCCCTCACAAAATTCTCAGCTTTTCCCCACAGAAATGTTCATAGAATCACAGAATCCCAGACTGGTTTGGGTTGGAAGGGACCTTAAATCTTACCCAGTTACATCCCCTGCCATGGGCAGGGACACCTTCCACTAGAGCAGGTTGCTCCAAGCCCTGTGTCCAACCTGGCCTTGAACACTGCCAGGGATGGGGCAGCCACAGCTTCTCTGGGCAACCTGTGCCAGGGCCTCACCACCCTCACAGGGAAGAACTTCTGCTTAAGATCTCATCTCAGTGTCCCCTTTGTCAGGTTAAAGCCATTCTCCCTTGTCGTGTCCCTTCAGGCCTTTCTCAAAAGACCCTCTCCAGATTTCTTGTAGCTCCTTTAGATGTTGGAAGACTGTTATAAGGTCTCCCCTGAGACTTCTCTTCCTCTGCTTGTGACTTTTTCCTCTCTGCAGCCATCGACTGGGTGCAGATAGATGCCAACTCCTCTGTCCTCCATGATGAATTCATTGCACACAGGCTAGGTGAGTGCTGGGCACGGGGAGGAAGATGAGGATGTGCAGCAAGGCAGAGGTCATGTACGAAATCAATCTGGGGGTGCTGAAGCACCTTCCCTGGGAGGCTGCTGTTCCTCCAGCCATGTCGGCAGGAGAGTCAGTGCTCCCGTGGCCTCACTTGGATACTCCCACAATTTCCTTTTTCCTACAGGTCTCATCCCACTCACCAGTGATGACATTGTGGATAAGATGCAATATTCCAGAGTAAGTCAAACAAAATGGGGGTGCTTATTTTGATGGTGTTGGGTGTCCTGTCTGAGGGGAAGCGCTTCTGTTTTGTTCCTGGGAGAGGTTTGACATAAAGTTCTTGACCCATGTGTCCCAGGACTGCACGTGTGATGAGTTCTGCCCAGAGTGCTCTGTAGAGTTCACCCTGGATGTCCGGTGTAATGAAGACCAGACTCGTCACGTCACATCCCGTGATCTCATCTCCAACAACCCCCGGGTCATACCGGTCAGTGCAATCCCTCTGCTTGTCAGCAAGTGCCCTCTCTATGTTCCTGTTGAGGCAAACACTTGGGATGTGGACGAAGCACAGCCTTTGAGCACGTTTCGTGTTGCCTAAAGACCCACTTAAACTGCAGTGGGAGAGCAAAGCATGAGTATCTGTAGACACAGCAGTGTGTGCCAGTGCCCTCCTTTTCTTCATCTTGTTGTCCTACACTTGCTGTCTAATGTCCTGTCAAAGCAGCATGGCCTTGTTAAAGTTTCATCCCATACCCTTCATCCCAAACTCATGGGATGCTCAATCTTGCCTCAAACATTTGGAGCATGTATGCTTGTGTCCTCCTGCCGTGTCACTGCAGCCTCCCACCTGCTTGCTGCCAGGGCTCTTAACAGGAGCGGCCTCTTTGAAGGCTTGGCAGCAAGCCTGCAGCCTCTGGTTCTTGGCTCTTGACACAGCAAGGTGTGAGGAGCCCAGGCCAGGGCACTGCTGCCAGCCTGCTTTTGCTCAGTTGCCTTGGGTAGGGCTGGTGGAGCCAAACGAAAACAGAAGCAAAGGGGAATGTTTTAAGACACTATTGATGCCAGCGCTGTATGTCACCTCAACCTTGGGGCTAGTGACAATGTCTGCCTGGTTAAAGCCTAGCTGTAGCCCGCTGTGCCTTGCTTGCTTTGGCTGAGTGCAGCAAGTGCTGTGTGTCACCTACCAGCAGTCATGGGTGTGTGTCAGAACAAAGCGGCGGGGCTGGAGCACTCCATCCTGGCAGGGAAAGCAGGCAAGCGGGCTGGTGGAGATGGGTGTCATGTATGTTGCTGGAGATGGGTGTCATGTATGTAGCTGCAGCTGCCTGGGTTGCCCCAGTTTCCATTAAATACAGAGGGCTGGATTTGGTCCTGTAAGTCATTCCGGAGTGGGTCTCTGCAGTCTTCAACTTTTGTAGGCAACTGCTCTTTGGTGTGGGGAAAAGAGCTGATCTTGCCATAATTCACTTGCTTTAGTTGTTGTTCTGCAGGTAACATCTCGGAGCAGAGACAACGACCCCAATGACTATGTGGAGCAGGATGGTAAGCGGTTTTCACAGGGAGTAAGAGCTGGAGAAGGGCATGAGTTTTTGTTTCAGGCTCTTTGAACTCATTCTTCCTTTACTAGTTGTGTAACCGTAGAACAGAGCTAAAGCTGGGGGAGAGAACCCAGCATTACTTTGTCACTGGGGTTAGCAGTTTGTCTTAATGACACTTTGAGGCTACCCCCAAAACCAAAGTCCTGTGTCAGAGGGTGCTTCTGTCTCTCTTTGCAAGAGCTTGGAGATGGCAAAGATGCAAAGTGGTGTGCTGTCTGCTGTTGCTTGGGGACTGTGCATCTCTTTTTTTTTTTTACTTAGCAGAATGCATCGTAGATACTCTGGGGACACAGATGATCCCCTCTGAGAATCCAAGTGAGCCCTGGCTCCTGGGGACTGAAAAGGAAGTGTGATCCTTTGCCCTAGTGTGATCCTACACACTCTTTTCTCCTCTGCAACCTACTCCAACATGTGTGTGCTTTTCCACAGACATCCTCATTGTGAAGCTGCGGAAGGGCCAGGAGCTGAGGCTGCGAGCCTATGCCAAGAAGGGCTTTGGCAAGGAGCATGCCAAGTGGAACCCCACAGCCGGTGTCGCCTTTGAGTACGACCCAGACAACGCACTGAGGCACACTGTGTACCCCAAACCAGAAGAGTGGTATGTCTGAAGGAACTGGGAAAGATAATTTGGGTCAGTAAGTGATCATGAGTGTGCCTGTAACTTCCCCTTGCACAGACCCTACTCCAGTGTTAGGGTACCAAGGCCAGTTCCTTGATGGTAGCTGCATACAAGGTGGACTGGTTTGTGGCCGCCTCTTGTCCTCCCCTCATGTGCTGTCACTGCTGTTTTACCTCACTTTCATGTTTTTCCCCAACACTTGTTACAGTTTTTTCTTCCCTGCACAAGTGGTATGTAGGCCAGGGTAAGGTCTGAGGAAGGAATAAATCCACACAAGGTGGAAGAGGTTGTTGTGAGAGCAAAGACCATAAGATTTGACTGCAATGCTGATTTTTCAGCTCTGAGGAAGCCCAGTGTGTGGCTCTGATCTCCCCCCAGACATCTCCTAACTCCTGGATCCTGAGCTCTAGCAGCAGGGTTTTCCTCTCTGATCCTTTCCTCTGCTCTGACATACCATCCTGCACAGATAGCATGATGCAGCTCCTCTAAAAGTGACATGATTTTGCTTTTGGAAAGCTGCTGCCCTGCTCTGGCCAGGGAGAGGACTTTACTTAGCATCACTTTTCCGTGAATAGATACCTGAGCTCTGCATCCCAGTGATCACCAGGCAGACATCCTGTCATTGAGCACACTGGAGCCAGCAGCAGGGCAAGGAACTGGGTGCTTTAGCAAAGGCTGGCTGAAAGCAGGGACTAGGGGTTGTGGATGTGCTGCTGTAACAGCAGGGCAGCAGGCAGAGCTGTGCTCAAGGTCAGGGAGACCTTGATGCAGGAGCAGGATTTGGTGCAGGTCTGTAGAAGCAGAGCTGCAGCTGGAGAGGAGGTGAGCGGCAGAAGGGGCTCAGATCTTCCTTCTCTCACTGGAAGATTTGCCTTTGCAAAAGGCTGCAAGCAGTGGCAGGCAGGTGGTGGGCTGTTGTACCTCCACATTGCCCACTTTGAGCCTGGGTGCTCAGACTCAGAACATGGGATTGCCCAGAATATGGATTGCAGAACATGGGATTGCCCAGAATATGGATTGCAGAACATAGCATCGTGCTCAGCTGTCTGTGAACGAGCTTCCCAGAGGGGCAGTTAGCCTGGGTTTCCACCTCAGCCTGACTGCCAGGGGCTTTCTGCTCAGGAGCTGGCCTGGAGATCCTGTGTCGCTAGGTTTGCGCTCAGGAGACTTGAGAAGCCCTTTGTTGCTGAGGGTGGAGGTGTGGGTCAGTCTGTAACATGCATGAAATGGGCTGGGACCTGCCTGCAGCCATCCCAGCCCTGTTTTCAGGATGGAAGGAGCAAATGCTGCTTGGCTTTGATGGGCTCTGCAGGGCACGTTCGTGGGTCCGGTTTAGTCAGTCTGGGTGAGGATGGGGCATGTCAGGCATTGGGCTCCTTCAGCACTTGGTCAGGGTGGTAGTCTGGGATCTTCAGTAGGAACCAGGTTGGCTGGTAGTTGTGGAAATCTGGAACTGGGTGTTTTCCTTCATGTCAATGGTCTGTACATGTGGACTGAAACTGGACTTCAGGAACTGCCAGCTACAGACCAGGCTGTCGGGGATAACCCCTTTTCCTGGG